AAATCCTGTAACTCAATATATTTAGATAGCTAAGTCAATATATTCTCAATATATTGACTTAGCTATCTCAATATGTTGACTTAGCTATCTCAATATATTGAGTTATTATTTTTATTTTTTATTGAAACAATTATGTCAAATACAGAATAAACAACTTCATATTAAGGTACACACATTTACCATCAACTGGGTTCTTAATTAACATGCATATTAGCAGTATATTGGCTCTTTATTAGTCATTATAAAACACTTATTAATGCCCTATTATACATGTAATCTGTGTGTGTTTCACTTGCATGTATGAGATCATTAAGTGCCTTGTAACTTCTTTTTTTTTAATTTCACTCCATTTGAATGTCAATGAACTGCAAATGAGTCAATAAAGGAGCATGGCTGCTCATTCCCTGGCTCTCAAAAGAGTTTGGCTGGCTGTTTAATCTATGTTCACACTGAGACAGTACAACAAATAGAGAGAACAGTACACCTATTGTGTAAGTATACATACAAGCAGGTCACACAGTATGATCACAAATACATAAACTCTGTTCAAAATCTGTTTTATTAAAAAGTACAGGCTGCATATACACTAAACAAAAATATAAATGCAACACTTTTGTTTTTGCTCCCATTTTTCATGAGATGAACTCAAAGATCTAAAATATTTCTATATACACAAAATAACCATTTCTCCTCAAATATTGTTCACAAATCTTGAATATAACAAGTATTGAGATGAACTTTTGTTATTGACCAAATACTTATTTTCCACCATAATTTGCAAATAAATTCTTTAAAAATCAGACAATGTGATTTTCTGGATTTATTTTCTCATTTTGTCTCTCATAGTTGAGGTATACCTAGGATGAAAATGACAGGCCTCTCTCATCTTTTTAAGTGGGAGAACTTGCACAATTGGTGGCTGACTAAATACTTTTTTGCCCCACTGTATATAGGTATATACATATTTTCAAACATATTTTTATATACCTTTTGTCAAACAATAATTCTTCCTTTATATATATCCTTTATTTAACCAGGTAAAAGACTCATTGAGATTATAATCTATTTTCCAAGAGCGACCTGGCCAAGAAGGGCAGCATGTACAAAGTTACAAACAGATAAAACACAGACATGACAGGCAGACAAATACAGCTGTAAAACACAAATAAAATGGCACATTAGCCAGTCAATATGCGAAGTAAAACAAAACTATTAAAATCATTCAAAACTGGCAAAAAGTTTTCATAATAAAACCAATGATCAAATGAGTTAACAGTGATATCTGCAGTACTCATCCACTAAAAAACATCAGTTTATCCTAGTTAATTATACGACATTAATTGGTTTTAAATTGTGTACAATGCTTTTGTGTTTTTCCCATAGGTTTTTCTCTTTCGATTCTGAGAGACACTTTTTTTTTCAGAGGTTTTGATAGGCTAAAATCACGCCGCAATGCACGTCGGGATATGGTGTTTATGTGATATGAAATCGGAAAACATTTTAAAAAAATAAAATAATACTTTATTCCGAGTGTTCTTGCTTTTCTCTTTGAAAGTCATCACATAACGGCATTGTAATACACGGTTCGGCTGCATTAAATATTACATATCTGCCGTAGATATTTATTTATAGAGCCCTGATCAGAAGACCTTTTGACAAATTGGAAGAGATGCCGCCAAAACTGAATACGTGACGTGGACCTTAAATATATCAACAATTAAAAAACATCTTCCATTTTTTTTCACACAATACGTCTCCTTGCAGTATCAACACTAATTCGGCTGACTTTTATATTTGATCCAATTAGTAGATAGTCTGTATTTACACCATAAAGGTGCACAGCTGATAGAAAGGGACTTTTTTGTAGTTTTTAAAGATATTACTGATTTTCTGAACTACCTTTCCAACTCCTCATGCAGTTGACTGTTACAGGTCTACAAGTTCATGGTACAATGCATAAGCTTCACATCGAGAGACTGAAACTGTATTTTCCTTTACCGTTCTGTTTTAATTTCACAATAAAGTGAATAGTCATATTATGTTTGATATTATTATGTTTTATTAACTAGACCGCTGGTCTAAACCGCATTTCCTAGTGGTTAAAGCACGTTATTGAATTTAGTTGTTGAATAAGTTATATTTGATGAAAACATTTAAATATTAAGAGTAGCCTACATACAAAATAGGGGTCAATGATAGAAATATAGAATAGAAAATATCAAGAAGATACTGTAGTGATCTCTACAATAAAACAGTTTAGTGCAGGACGTCCAAAGATATTAACAGGAGGATGTGCAAAACAGACAAACTGATAAGGCTGAATTTTACTCAGGTGTAACTAAAGTCTGATTTAAGGGTTGTTTATATTTCACATCATTAATCAGAATCTGCAAAGTAACAAAAATAAATGTAGTAGAGTAAAAATACCAGGTTAACCTCTGAATTGTAGTGGAGTAGAACAAAGTAGTACATGCTGCTGTAACAAAAACATTTCCCAACTTGGGATCAATAAAGTATCTTAACTTAAGATGATCGATGGCTTCTGCCATATTTGCTAAATGTGCATCCGAACCTTGACAAGTGCATGTTTCAGGCTTATCAATTAACAACTGGAGGGGTCACAGACATAAGACCAGCTGTTAAATAAAGCTCTTCTGACCTTAGCTGTCATGTGGGTATATTAATGCTGTCCATTATGGACACAAGCAATTTTCACCCATGTATTAATTATATGTTTTAAATTGTATTACACCAATGTGTTTCATATCCCCTAAACCTCCAGGGATGTATACAGTTTAATACTGGCAACTTCTAATTGTGGGAAATACGAAAACGTCTTTTAAAACTACAATTCCCAGTAGAGACGTGCCATAGAACATGTTGCGAAACACACAATAGCCAGCATGTGTAATTCTGGGGGGGAGGGCTGGGCTGGACCCGTCCAAGTCCAGTTTTGGATAGTCTGGCGTGGTTCGATCCATTCCATTTCAAAGAGCTGTTTGACACTCGGCGTAACCTTGTCGCACTGCCACTCCAACATCCAATCACAGAGCTTGAGGGCTAATCACAGGGTTTGTAAAGCAAGGCGGATGTTGTAGTCCCAAACGATAGCTTGGGATTCTGGGTAGTGTAGTGTCTTCGGAAACTCTGTAGTGTCTAAACTCCGAAAAAACTATTTGTTTCTCCGAATCGAAGGTTAAAAACACAAAAGCATTGTACACAATTTAAACCAATCAATATTGTGTAATTAACTAACTTAAGGATAAACTGATGTTTTTTAGTGGATGAGTATGGAGATATCACTGTGTAATAATTTGACAGTGTGGGGAATACTTCCGGTTTTATTATGAAAACTTCGAGACCGGAAATACTGTTTTCACCCATGCTAACTTTACATGGAGCCCCATATACAGTACACGTTCTTCTGGCGAGACCTCAAATCATCTTCGTATATCTATCAAACTGTAGATCCTACACATCCACTGGACATAGATTATAAAAGTACAATATACACTTCTCGCTAGAAATCTAATAAAAAAGCATTTTAATGGCCAAACTATTCCACAATTTAGGATTTTCCAGAGAGGGTTATTTGTGAATAAACGACCCTCCGGAGCGTTTGCAATCGACAGGAGCATGTTGTTTCTTACACGACCACTAGAGGTGCTACACTTTAAAACGTGACTCTAGGTCGTATTTAGCTGCTGAACAATCGACCTATATGGTCGTTGTTTGTAGGAGGACAGGCTGACCAATGGTGTCGTGTTATCTGTCCTTTAAGATGGACCTGAATTCCCCCATAGTGATTACATCTGAGAGTTTCAGCTCCTTCTGTACATTGTTCCAAGCTGTGGGGGCAGCATATCTAAAAGCTGTTTTACCCAGTTTTGTTCTCACTGTAGGGACCAGCATCTGAATAAAATCTTGGGAGCGCAGGCCATATAGACTTTCTCTTTGACACATATATGTGCAAATGTAGGAGGGAACAAACCCAAGCAGAGATTTATAAATAAAACCCAACCAATGGGAAAGTCTGCGAGCAGACAAAGATGGCCAATTAGCAGCAGCATATAAAGTGCAATGGTGTACTCGATATACACATCCAGTGATAAATCGTAAGGCACAATGGTAGGGGAGAGCGGGGTATTGTGAGACATCGGGTAATGTGAGACACCCCCTGTATCTAGGCAACGGAACACAATTGTGGTCATGTGACCATTATGTTTTCAAGCCCCTCCCATTCCCCCCTTGCCAGGAAGGTGAAGTTGGTGCTGGTGCTGTGGTAAGTATGTTTTTTCACAAAAATGTGTTTTTTGCATGTAAAAGTAAATTTTCTTGCTATGAACTTAATCAACTATTGTGTCAAAGCAAATTGATTCAGGTAGAAAAACTTATATCATACATGTTGATGAACTTCCAACATATAAAACCATGTGATTGATGCTAGTTGAAGATTAGCCTGAATTGCTAGAGATGTTGTTTTTTCTAAAATGGTGGCTGTGGGGTTAAGTGAGACAAATGCTGTGGGGTAAAGTGAGACAGTGTCTCACTTTACCCCACCATGAAGCACAAGTTAAGTTTAGTCTTACGCAGAGAGAAACAATATCCCTGTCCCTGCCAATTGGACAGAGAAACAATGTGCAGGTAGGCTAGGGTGTGCAAGATGTCACATGATTCTGTAGGTTAACTTAGAACAAATGATCTTGCCACAAAGCTAAATCTTATAATAATGAATTCTCTACTCTTTAGGAATAGAGTGGTTTGGCAGGTTCCTAGCACGTCGCCATCTCTCTGTCCGAACTCCGGAGGCAACATCCCTGGGAAGGGCTACAGCCTTCAATAAAACTACAGTGGGGGAGTTCTTCGAAAATCTGGCTGTAGTGATGGACAGCTGACAGAATTAATTTTTTAGTTGCAAATGTTTTATGGAGGCTTTACCTGTAAGATTTGGTTTTGATTCTGATAATGTTCTTCCCTTGCCTCTCTTCTTTAACAGGCACAAATTCCCTCCACACATGATTTACAATGTGGATGAAACAGGCGTCGTTACAGTTCAAAAGCCACGGCAGGTAAGCTACATATGATACACTAGAGAGCACCAGAGTGATACTGAGTGGCTTGTGATAATGACTAGTGAACCTGTGAACTGGAAAAAACGAATGGACTGAAATGAAATACAATGTACCTTTAGACCAATAGTAGCCTACTGATTGCACATGCCATTGATTCTAAACTTTCTATTTGATTCAGGTTGTGACAGAGAAAGGAAAAAAGCAAGTTGGTTCTATCACATCAGCTGAGAGAGGAGTACTGGTGACTGTGGTGTGTGCAGTGAATGCTGTTGGGAATGCCATACCTCCCATGTTTGTCTTCCCCAGAGTTAGGTTTAAGGATGACTTCATGATAGGAGCACCTCCAGGAGCCAAAGGTGCCTCCACCAGAACAGGATGGATGAATGAAGACACCTGGCCTGAGTTCCTTGATCACCTGATACAGCACACTCAGTGCACTCCTGACCGTCCCATGCTGCTAATCCTTGATAATCTTAAAGCTCACATCTCACTCAAGGCAGTAGAAAAAGCAAAGAGCAACAGTATTGTTATGCTCACCCTTCCACCCCACACATCCCATCGCATGCAGCCTCTCGACGTGACCGTGTATGGCCCGTTAAAGACCCTATACAACCGAGCTCTTGATGGGTGGATGAGGTCTAACCCTGGCAAAACAGTCTCCATCTACCAGATTGCAGGACTTGTGAATGAGGCCTTCTTGTCAGCAGTGACACCACGGAATATCACTTCTGGATTCAAGTCCACTGGGATTTTCCCATATAACAGAGATATTTTCCCTGAGGAAGCGTTTGCACCATCCATGGTGTCAGACCGGCCAAACCCTGAGCTGCAGCCTGCATCCACTGGTCCATCCACTTCAGATGATCCAGATGGTCCACTCCCTGCAGATGAACCACCTGCTGCAGATGCTAATCCATCCACTCCGCGTGGTCCACATGGATGTGCCTCGCCAGCTGACTCAGATGTTCCCAGCCGACCTGGATATGTGTCTCCTCGTGAAATCCTACCACTTCCCAAATGTCCCCCCAGAGCACAAACCAAAAGAAAGCGTGTGAAGACAGCCATCCTAACAGATACTCCTGAGAAGCAGGCAATAGAAAAGGCTTATGAAGAGAGACAAAAGAAACTGGCAGGGAAAAAACTAAATAGCAAAGAAAAGGGAAAACTGAAAAAGAAAGCACCCAAAAGGAAAATCATAGATAGCAGCTCTGAGGAGAGTGATGTCCCTGTCCCACTTGATGATGAGAGCCCTGAGGATGAGAGAAGTGATCCTGGAAACACAGATCTGAACGTGGGTGACTTTGTCCTAGTTAACTTTGCAACCAAACACAGGAGTCTCCGTTACGTTGGCATGGTTGAGAAAGTTGAGGATGACGAAATACTTACACAATTCCTCAGAAGAATCCAGGGAAACAAGAAACAGTGGGAGAGACCCACGTTTGCTATAAAAGAAAATGATGTGGCACATGTTCCTAAAGGTGATGTGGTGAAGAAGCTGCCTCAACCTAATAGGCCTGGAGGAACCACACAGAGAGAGCAACTCTTCACCTTTCCCTGTAACCTTTAGGGCTGGAATGTAGAGTAGGCCTTGTTATAGAGTATGAGGCTGATGTTCTAATCCAGGTGGGTCTAGCCTGAGTCCCAGGCTGTTCTAGCTGGTTCTGATGGTCCTATGTTCTGAGCCCCAGACTGTGTACTAGCTGGTTCTGATTATGGGTCCATGTTCTGACCCCAAGACTGTGCACTAGCTGGTTCTGATTGTCCTTTGCTCTGACCCCCAGACACTAGCTGGCTCTAAAGGTCCTGTGTTCTGACTCCCACACTGTGAATGTTAATTAAAACATTTTTGAATTATATTATGTTGTATTTGATTTACTTTTTAGTACTTTGGGTTACTTTCAAGTGTTTAAAGAAATGTGCTTAATTGACCAATCCTCATGATTCTGATACTAGTCCGACATTAGTTTTGGAATGTGTGGTTGTCAATCTAGCTATCAGGTTTCTAATTGTTACAACATGTGTTGTTATGGTAGTTTTAAAGTGGAAAACGTAAGTGGATCAGCTTACCCCCAACTGGTTCACTTTACCCCCCTTGATTTCTCTGGTCTGTCTAAGTTTACCCCTGAGCTGGGGTGAAGTGAGACACAAGACCACTTTTTTTTAAACAATCATATTTTCATTGCCCTTTGTACTGAAAACATTCTGATAATTTCCATAGCTAGGAAACATCCTGAATTAATAGGAAATGTGTAAATGTTACTGATATATAATTTTAGCTCAGTGAGAGGGGAGCAAATGTAAAAAATGTCTCACATTACCTCACTCTCCCCTACACAGTATCCAAGCTCTTTAGGCATTGGTCAGAGGCATTCATGTATAGCAGGTCACCATAATCTAATACAGGTAAAAACGTTGCAGATATCAAATGTTTCCTTGTCTGAAAAGAGAAACAGGATTTATTCCTGTAAAAGAAACCTAATTTTATTTTTAGCTTTGAAACAACATTTTCCGTGTGTAACTTGAAAGACAAGTTCTGTTCAATAAGAAATCCCAGATATTTGTAAGTTGTGACCCTCTCAATGTCAGTCCCTTGTGCAGTACAAATCTTCGGTAGAATAGATGGTAACTTTTTGCCATTCGAAAATATCATCACTTTGGATTTTTCAGCATTTAATACCAACTATAGTTGATATAAATGGGTTTGTATGACATCAAAGGCAGACTGGAGGAAATCTAGACTTTGCTCTAAGAAGCGGAGGAACAATAAATAACAGTGTCATCTGCATAAAAATGGTAAGAAGCATTTGCTAAATTATTACATAGATTATTTACATATATGGTAAAAAGAATGGGTCCTAATATGGAACCTTGTGGCACACCCTTTGCTATCGGGAGGAAGGAAGAAAAGGACCCAGAAAATTGGACACATTGGGTTCTCGCTGATAAATAATTTAAAAACCAACCTACAGTATGCCTAGATAAGCCGATACTGTGAAGTCTTTCCGTCAGGATGATATGATCAGCTGTGTCAAATGCCTTTGACAAATTAATAAATAGAGCTGCACAATACTTTTTACAGTCCAATGCCTCAATTATGTTGTTCACCACTTTAATAGCAGCAGTTGTTGTGCTGTGTTATTTTCTAAAACCGGATTGGTGTTCTGACAAAATATAATTTGTGTCCAAGAATAATTTAAGTTGTTCACTGAGAAGCTTTTCGAGGACCTTCGCTACAACACATAATTTTTAAATTGGCCTATAATTATTAACAGATGAGGCATCCCCTCCTTTCAGTAAAGGAAGAACATATGCAGATTTCCATATGTTAGGAATCTCATTGTTGGAAAGAGTTAAATTAAAAAGATAAGTAAGCGGCTCAGCTATAAAGTCTGCTGCTAATTTAAGAAAATGAGGAGGAAGTTTGTCCGGACCTGCCGATTTGTGTGGATCCAGATTCTGCAATGCTTTGTGGACCTCTATCACCTCGATAAAAGTAAAATTGAATGGCTGAGCCATGGGATGGGATGAAGGTGGTGAGGAATCAACGTTCTGTCCAGGGCCCGAATGTAGGGACTCAAACAAAGAACCAGATCAAATAAAATGTTCATTAAAGCAGTTGAGAATGGCCGATTTGTCAGTGAGGGTTTGCGAATCTGTAACAATGCAGGCTGGTAATTCATTTTTAGTTTCTGTTCCAAATGAGTTTTTTTATTACCTTCCAAAATTTCTTTGGATCATTTAAGTTACTAGTAGTATTAGAAATGTGGTACTCAGATTTAGCCTTTTTAACTAGGAAGGTGAAATGATTTCGGAGCTGTCTAAAAACAATCCAATCCACTTGGGATTTCGATTTTTGGCCCTTGACCAGGCAATATCCCTTTCTTTTAGAATGCTGGCCAGTTGAGGACTAAACCAGGGATTTTTTAGCTCTTTCACCCTAAATTTGCGGAAAGGAGCATGTTTGTTTATAATTCTAGTAAAAGCCTCATGAAAATAATCCCATGCCAGTTCAACATCACTAATGAGAGAGATCTTGTTCCAATCAAAATCCCACAGGTCATGAAAAAATGCTTGCTCGCAAAAATGTTTAAAGTCACGTTTAAAACTATTTGTGGTCTTGTTTTTGGAAGCTTAGCTTGCCTGATTGTAGCTATAGCGCAATGGTCACTCATATCATTTACAAAAATACCAATATCCAAAAACGTATGAGGCGCATTTGTTAAAAATAAGTCGATAAGAGACGATTTATCTTGGTGTTTAAGATTAGGACGAGTTGGGCTATTGATAAATTGCGTAAGATTAAAAGAGTCACAGGTTGATTTAAAACTATCGGAGACAGAGGACAACCTGTCCCAATTAAAGTCTCCAGCAATTAAAATCTCATTAAAATCTAAGCAAGATAACTGATGACTCAATGATGATAAAGCCTCAATGCTTGCTGAAGGGGGTCTATAGCACTCTACAACAGTGATAAACTGACCCTTAAGAAGTTCCAATTTCAGCGCAAGTAGTTCAAATGGTCTGCTAAGAGACACAGATGATTGGATGGTAGCATGACATTTTGTTTTTACATAAATTGCAACACCACCTTTTCTGGGACGGTCACAACGAAACACATTGTAACCCTTAATTGCAATGTCTTTGTCAGTGATAGATTTCTTTAGCCAAGTTTCAGATAAAACAAGAACATCAGAATCAGAGGATTTTGCCCAGATTTTCATGTGGTCCATTTTAGGAAGTAGACTTCTGACATTTATGTGGATGATACCAAGACCCGACCTAGCTTTAAAATCATCAGGGGTACTCAGACCATTAAAATCTGGTCCAGGGTTTGGATGAACATTTCCTGATAAGAGGAGCAGGATAACAACGAAACATTTCCTTTTCACCCAAGTTGTTGTTTGCATTGATTCATTATATAGACCTATTACTCTCTTTCCACCATAGGAATATGAGTTCATTGAAAACAACCAGTTATAAGGACTAAAAAGACGAATAAGACAAGGTAGAGTCGTGAGATCCTTGGAGATTAGAATGCTCCAATTTACAGAGCTCTTAAACAAAGTAGAATCCCAGTTTGTGTCTTTACTAGGGAAGACAAGATGAGGCACATTTTGGTCTTCATACCCTTCACGCACCTCATATGGATGGAGAATAGTCAGTAGGAGAAAAATAGGTATTAGGAGAAACATGCTGGGTGACATGTGTCAGGAGGTAGAGAGGGCCTGCTGAAGAAATCCAGAAATCAGCACAGGAATGCCGTCCGCGTTTTCCGTCCTGCCGAAGTTGAGAAATGCCAGGTCAGCGAGGTGAGAATCCGGTCCTGGACTTTCAGTCCTCCCGAGAACGAAGATGACGGTTGTTTGACGTCTCATGTAAACAAGAACACAAGCCCAGTCATGCTATGCTTTAGCTCAACGAAACCCGTTCTTATACATCCATGAACGATCCCAGTCCACCAAAGTCCAAAATCAAGCGCAACACAGGTGGCGTTTCAGCTCCGGAAAGTGAGCACAGGCTCCGCAGTCCAAGCGGATACAGTGGTCCCAGGAACGGGGCAGTAATGTTTAGCCGTAATATTACGGCATCAACAACGCTCGCCCTGGTTGTACTGTCCAAAACAGCTCACATATATTGACCGGTGTTTTACAAAGATAACAGATATCACGTAGACAACACTAGAACAGACATGCGAGCACAGCGGACAGGGACAGGTACAGACATGCTGCCATCTTAGATTGTGAACCATCTTTCTCCTAAGATCTTTAACCTTTTCTGTGTGGGGACGTGTACGACCAACCCTGAGTCTGTTATCTCCCGTAAGGAATGTGCTAATGCAGTCCAGATGTCGGAGATATCTCCAGTGTTCCCAGTGTTTACGCACCATTCCCCAATATGTGGATTAACTCTCTGTAAACTAGTTAAAAGGTCTATTCGAGAGAGAGGGTGGGCTGAATTGATGTGGCAACCCACCCGGGCAGTCAGAATCTCTGGCTGCTCCGTGACTTGTGATGTGAATTTCTCCGGGCCGATACTTGTAAATAAACATCAGTGTTTGACATCAAAGCTCCAACTCTCCTCGTGTCTCTCTGAGTCCTGACTCTCCATTGCTGCAGAAGTTTCCCTTACAAATTGGCGTTGTCGGCAGGATACCAACAAATCTTCAGAACTGGTAAGTGTAATTTCAAATCCACATTTGGACATTGCCTTACCAGAATCTGTGATTGACGGTATCCTAAAATTACCTGTGAAACTGAGCGGTTGTGTTTCGTTTTTTGGTTAATGAACATTTGGGGATTATAAACCCAGGGGATCAGTGTCTGGGGACTTTGGTCCTGGCTGATTTTCTCTGTGTATGCTGCTCGGGACTGAAGTACCATACAAGCATGCACAGCTCATGTTCGGAGAAACCTTAAAGAAATACATCAGTAAAGTGGAGCTTCTGTATGAAAGCAATGTAAAGATTTGTATTGGACAAATCGCCCAATTCTGGGGGTTTCAGCGGCCAACACCAGCAGTTAAAAAGAAGCAGCCAGAGATATTATCCCCATCGCCTCTCTGAGCACG